ACAAAGGCAGGGGCTTAAATACACTAACACTGAGGACTAAGAAAGGCAGCGGCTTAAATACACTGAGGACTAACAAAGGGCAGGTGTGAATAATCCACAACAACCAATAAAAGAACAAAGCAGGGAAACAGGCAACAGGTGGAATGAACTACAATAAATGAGCACAGGACAAGAGAACTAACCATGGAATAGAGAAAACACACTGGGGTTAAAAAGCAAGAGACGGCAGAGGCAGAACGGCCAGCAACAGCTGCTGACCAAGCAAGGAAAGGTCAGAGAACGAGGTCAGGCAGGCGCTGAACCTGACAGTAGCTGAATTTGCTTAGATACCACAGACAGACTGTCTGCCTTGCTCCAATCATGCACACACTCCGATGAGGTCTCAAATGAGTTAGCGTATTACATGTGTTTTCAGCAACACATTCAAGTTCAGTACAAGAGAGCCGACAGACCTGTCTTGGTTATGTCGGCTTCTCCAAACTTTGTGTAATTTATTCAGATCAGGTCAGGTCAGGTCAGGTCAAGGTGGTGAAACTCCTCAGGATCCTGGCTGGTGACCCCCTCAGGCAGACACAGTCCAGTCCCACACTCCGGAAATGACCATCCATCTGCCTCAGCAATGAGGATTCTGCAAGCCGGATCACCCTCAGGGAAACGCACCACATGGCTGTAGCTCCGTAACTTCATTCGGAACTCCTCTAGCAACCGCTCAATTGACAGAAAGTCAAACCAGCGGTACCCAAGGATTCTCTGAAGAGACACAATACCAAAGGACAGTCTGCTGTGTTGGACTCTCACTGTCTGTGTCTCACTGTCCACATGTGTCACTTTGGACTCTCACTGTCTCCATGTGTCCCACTGGACTCTCACTGTCTGTATCTCACTGCCTGCATGTGTCCCGCTGGACTCTCACTGTCTGTGTCTCACTGCCTGCATGTGTCCTGCTGGACTCTCATTGTCTGTGTGTCGCACCGTGGTCCAATGGGAACGTTACGTCATACATCACACCACTGTATACCTGTATAGAGTTAACGGCTGTGATATAGATGTACGATACCGTTTTAAAGATTTATTGATTACATTTCCCCAGATGTTATACGTTATAAAACAATGGGGTATGTTGGGGCTTTATGTATCATGTTTGTCACGGTTATTTACCTTGTTGTACATGAATACTTTTTCTGAACTCTAACTCAAAGACCTCTTTGTTAAATTTGCATTTTGTAAAACAAAAGCACTTTTTGCATTTTTTAAAGGAAATTCCTCTTGCTATTTGCTTCTTCTTAAAACAGACCATCTAATAAAGAGCCAAATGAGATGC